ACCTTGAACCTAGAACCCTAAAACCTGAACCCTAAACCCTGCACCTTAAGTCCTAAATCTTAAACCTTGAACCCTAAACCCTAAACAACCATAAACCAAAAACCCAGAACCCTGAATTCTTGAAGCCTTGAGCCCTGAACCCTAAACCTTGAGCCCTTAACCCTGAACCCTTGACCCAGAACCGTGAACCTTGAACCCAAAACCCCAAACCCTAAACCCTAAACCCAAAACCTTGAACTCTAAACCCTAAACCCTAAATCCTGAATCCTAAACCTTGAACCCTAAACCTTGAACCTAGAACCTAGAACCTAGAACCCAGAACCTTAAGCCCTAAGCCTTGAACCTTGGACCCGAAACAGTGAACCATAAATTCTAAACCTTAAACCTTGAAAACATAACCCAAAATTCAAAACCCAGAACCTTAAACCATGAACCCTAGACCCTGAACCCTGAACCCTGAACCCTGAACCTTGAACCTTGAACCTTGAACCTTGAACCTTGAACCTTAAACTCTGAACCCTGATCCTGATCCTGATCCTTGAACCCTAAACCAAGAACTGAAAACCCTAAACCCAGAACCTTGATCCTAAACCCTGAACCCTTAACCCTGAACCCTGAAATTAGATCCCTGAAAATTGAACCCTAAACCCCAAACCCAGAACCCTGAACCTTGATCCTAAACCTTAAATCTTGAATCCTGAGCCTTAAACTCTGAATCCTAAACCCTGAACTTAGAACCCAGAACCCTGAACTTAGAACCCAGAACCTAGAACCTTCAACCCTAAACCCTTAAACCTAAACCCTGAATCTTGAACCCTAAACCCTAAACCCCAAACACTAAACCCTGAACCTTGAACCTTAAACCTTGAACCCTAAACCTTGAATCCTAAACTCTGAACCCTGAACCTTAAACCCTAAACCCTAAATCTTAAACCCTGAACCTAGAACCTAGAACCTAGAACCTTGAACCTTGAACTCTAAACCCTAAACCTTGAACCTTGAACCTTGAACCTTGAACCCTGAACGTAGAACACAGAGCCTAGAACCCAAAACCTTGAACCCTAAGCCCTAAACCTTGAAAGTGAACCCAGAACCCTAAACCCTAAACCTTAAACCCTAAACCCTAAGTCATGTGTGCTCCATTTCTAACTCGTAGGTCTATCTCTCTCTCTCTTGGCTAGCAATCTACTCTACCCTAGTTCCTACATATTAGTACAAATGTGAGTACCACATCCTGTGTCAATGACCCAAGATGTTGAAGGGGAGAAGTTAATCTCAATCATATACATACCTGAAGTCGAAGCGTCTGACTTCTTCTTACTTTCGAGGAAAGACTTACAGTGTTTCCTCCAATAGCCAAGCATGCCACAACAGAAGTAGACTATCTTCCCACCTTTACCAATGCCACCCTCAGACTTGAGAGCATCCTATCCTTTGGGTGTAGACTAGGGATAAACCTTGGTCTTTCCCTTACCTTTACCCTTGCCTTTACTAGTAGCAACTAGTAAAAGCAGGTTTGGAATTTTTCAAGTCCTACTCCGCAATGCTCAGCATGTTTAGGAGCTCTGACAGGGACTTCACCATTGTATTCATATTGAAGTTCATTATGAATGGTGAATAAGAATCTGGTAGTGACAGTAGAATTAAATCCACTTGTAAGTCTGCATCCACACTAAAACCCAAAGTTTCAAGCCTCTCTATGTACCCAATCATCTTGAGCACATAAGGACCAACTTGGGCTCCCTCAATCATTTGGCTCGTAAACAATGCCTTTAACACCTCATACCTCTCATGTTGAGCATTCTTTTGATATAGCTCCTTGAGGTACATAATTATGGCATGTGCATCCAAATTCTCATGTTCCTTTTGCAACTCAAATGTCATCGATGCTAGCATAATGTATTGGACATTATCAACATCATCAAAGAACATTTGATAAGTGTCATTGACTATTAGGAAACGACCAAGTTATGGCAGCGGAAACAAAAATCATAAACATCATGGATCGTTCCTTAGAACCAAGATCAGGGTACAAATTTAACAGTTTATACATTAAATACAAATCTGCAAGAAATCAATTTAAAGTTAAGAAACCATACCCACGTTTGGAGACTCCTCCAACTTTAACGCCGAATGGGTTTCGCTACCGATCCAATGGTAGGATCGAACCACCGTTAGTCCACACGAAGATAACTCCAAGGAATTAAAGAGGGATTTGTTAGATCCTCCTTAGCCTTAAGAACCAAGAACAAATCAAGCAAATTTTGTTTCAAGCAAAAAGGAAAAACTAGCATGGGAGAGAAAATGGGGCTGGGGTTTTTTATCAAATGATTGAAAATGAATTCATACTTTAATTCACAAAGTGTTGCACTTATATAGTGCACACTTTGCCCTATTCCATCATGGAATAGACTTGGGCACCAACCCAAACACCCTTTGTATCCAAACATCCTTATTTAGATATTTAAATTATCATTATCTCAATTCAATTCANAAAACAAAGGTGATGCCAAGTTTTGCCAAGTTATTTAGTGGCAAGAACATTGACTAGGCCGATCTCAAAGCTGCTTGAAGATCATTAGTGTATTCACAACTCATCTTTACAAGCTCCCTTGTGTGTTTAGTTACTGTAAATTGTTCTACATAGCAATGAGATTTTTAAGGGTTGATAAGATGATATTTATGTAATAACTGTTTGTCTTCCGAGTTCCATCAGTTCATACTTTCACATTTTGGGAAGTTGATGAAACTCTGGTTGAGTGTGTGAGGCATTCATGTATAATAATAGACTTTAAATTACATCTCATATAGTTAGCGGATGAGATTCTGAATCTGTTTATTAAGTCTTAAATTTTCTCAATTAAGTATCTGTGTGTTATACTTGATGTTACATTTTATTCTAAAATTCCAGAATTCCACAACCAATTTTCCTAAAATATGCCTAAAATCAATTTTTCTTTCACGGTAGTTCACACAAACCAGCATGTAAAATAAACTACATTTGTCTTTATCAATGGCAGAACGCTTCTATTCATCAATCACACAAACCAGTCCCACCAAATTGACTGGATTTTATCTCATCAACTCAACTCCATTCAACACATTCATCCAACCAAAAAAAAAAAAAAAAACTTGAAAAAGGAAAGTGTTTAATTACCAAGACGAAGAACAAGCGCAGAACAGGAGTCCAGAAGAAAAACACTGCGAAGACGAAGAAGACGCAGTAACGCACATGGAAGACGAAGAAGATGGTAATGGCTGCCTGGGTGTTAAAAATTTTTGAAACTTCCCCAAATGTTTTAACCTAAAACGCGAATTTTTTTTTTTTTTAAATTTTAATAACATTATGGACGGCCGTCCATTCAGTATGGACGCCCGTCCACAATTAATGGACGGCCGTCCACAAGTTAAGGACGGCCGTCCACAAGTTAAGGACGGCCGTCCAGTGTTAAAAAATATTTTTTTTTATGAATTAATTTTGGACAGCCATCCATTACTTATGGACGCCCGTCCACAATAAAAGGACGGCCGCCACAAATCCATTGTTTTTTTTAAGATTTGTAAAAGATTAATTTTGGATGGGCGTCCAAAAATTACGGACGCCCGTCCAAAATTAAGGGACGGCTGTCCTAAAGAAATTTTTTTTTTTTTTCATATTTGGGTGAAGGACGGGCGTCCATTATTTGTGGACGCCCGTCCAAAAATGGACGGCCGTCCATAGTGGATGGACGGTCGTCCCTAAGCTTTTACAAATTTTTTTATTTTATTTTAATAGGGACGGGCGTCCATATTATATGGACGACCGTCCCTCGCATATGGACGGCCGTCCATAGTGGATGGACGGTCGTCCCTAAGCTTTTACAAATTTTTTTATTTTATTTTAATAGGGACGGGCGTCCATATTATATGGACGGCCGTCCCTTGCATATGGACGCCCGTCCATATAACATGGACGGCCGTCCATAATGGATGGACGGCCGTCCCAAAGCTTTTACAAATTTTTTTATTTTATTTTAATAGGGACGGCCCCTCGCATATGGATGCCTGTCCATATAACATGGATGGGCATCCATGTGAGTGAACGGCCGTCCAAATTTGATGGATAGCCGTTCACTAGGAAAAAATTATAAAGAAATGGAGAAACGCGTTACACATCGGCCGGTACAGAAATTCGGTGCTAATATTTCNCTAAGTCCACGTCCACCCAACCACAAATACAATGTATTGGTTAGTCAATTTGTTAGTTATTGGTGTTGGACTATGGAAGCATTAGTTGTTGTCAAGCCGTCCCTACTCAACCATTTTCATTGCTCACTTACCGCCATCTTTAGGCACCAATCATTGCCTTAACTCACGCTATTTACAACAGAATTACAACCTCATCCTCATTATGTCAAGTATTGATATAGAAAAAGTATCGATTTTTTTGTTTTCAAGCCAGCTTGCATACATATCAATTAATCCTCGAGATCCATTAAACACCCTACAAACTCAATGTTTTAGATAAACCACAAATGTGGTAGGTGACCTGAAAGTGGTTTGAACATAAGAAGTCAATTATATAAGTAAACCTTCTTGACCACCAGACTAACCTTTTAGGGCTCTCTATTTATAAGAATTGATATAGAAAAAAGAATCAAAATTTGATACTCTTAACATATAATATATAACTTAAAAGATTGTTTATCATTGACGAGTAACATTGAACCTAAGATTCATAATATAAAAGATGAATTTGTAACGTTTTTGCGATATGGGTAATACTGTTTTTGAAACTATATTAAGTTTAGAACAATTATCAAGTATGATGACTGTGTTTGCATATACTAAAACATGCCACATGCCAAATAATCAATAGCAAATACTGTCATTACATTAAAACTTGAGTTTGCGTTTAGAAAAAGGAAGCATGAAGTTATGTGTTTTAATTGAAGTGCTTAAATCCTTATGAAAAAGACTGGCTTATGGTTAATAAATTTCTATTTAATTTTGTCTGGAATCAGAAATGCAAAAAAGAAGCTTCTCAAGTGTCGCCAATCTCAACTCAAAGTGGCTTTGCACTTTGCATGAGCTGTGTTTGCCCAGTCAACACTTTGAACTGACTATAAACTCGTGAAATGCCAGGGAAGAGAAGCAGTGCAAGTTCATAAATCACACAGAATCCTCTTTGTTTCCTATTCAAATACCCGTAAAGATACGTCTGTCATTCCTGGCTTCCAGATTATGTCTGTCTGAGTTTGTCGAAGGCGATCTCTGAGAATCCTTTTTTTCCAGCTTTGAATTCACTTCAGTTACTCTTCACAGAAATGGTTTTGCCAATTGTTTTCTTGGCTTTCTTCCTATGCAATTGTCTTTCTTTTGTGGCTTCACTAAATGATGAAGGATTTGCTCTTCTCTCCTTCAAACAAGCAGTACAGAACTTCCCTGAAGGCTATTTAAACAGCTGGAAGAACTCGGATGATAGTCCGTGTGGATCATATAATTGGAAGGGAGTTACATGTAGAGAAGGAAAAGTCGTTGCTCTGAGCATTTCAAACCAGAATCTTTCAGGGCTTCTTCCACCTGGTCTGGGAAAGCTCTATTCTCTTCACCGTCTTAATCTCAGGAATAACAACTTCCATGGAAGTTTACCGTTTGAGCTCTTCAATGCATCAAGTTTACAAAGCTTGGTTCTTTCAGGAAATTCATTTTCTGGGCCTGTTCCGACTCAGATAGGGACTCTCACCAACCTACAAGTTTTAGATCTTTCACAAAATGCATTTAGTGGCTCAATACCTTCATCTCTAGTTCAGTGCAAGAGATTAAAAGCTTTAGTCCTTAATAACAACAGTTTGAATGGCTCTCTATCAGATGGTTTTGGAACCAATTTAACTACACTTCAAAAGCTCAACCTTTCCTTCAACAACTTGAGTGGTTTGATCCCCAACGACATAGGCCAATTTTCAAGCTTGAACGGTACTCTTGATTTGTCTCACAATCACTTCAGTGGTTCTGTTCCAGCAACTCTAGGATACCTTGGAGAGAAAGTGTTCGTAGATCTCAGCTATAACAATCTTAGCGGCCCCATACCCCAAGATTCTGCTGTATTGAGTTTAGGACCGAGCGCTTTCATAGGCAACCCATTGCTTTGCGGACCACCATTGAAAGTTTTATGTCCTCCAGGCGCTTTAGATCCATATTCTAAACCCAACCCTTCTGACCCTTCTAGTAAACCAAAGGAAGTCCATCATTCAAGTTCGTGTGCAGTGATTGCGGCTGTTTCCATAGCCACAATTGTAGGTATCTGCACCATTGGGTTGTTGCTCTATCACAAGTACAAAAATGCTTGTGCGTGCAAGTGGGGAGATGGTGTTGGCAGCAGCCCCTTCGAAGAAAAGTTGACGCTTAGACAGAAGATTTCCTGCTTTATCAAAAATGACTTGGAAACTTTATCAGAAGTTATGGAGCAGTACGAATTCGTGCCATTAGACTCGCAGGTTGATTTTGATCTTGAGCGACTTCTGATAGCATCAGCTTTTCTTCTCGGTAAGAGCAGAATCGGCATTGTGTATAAAGTTGTTATGAACAATGGGCCAACCGTGGCGGTGAGAAGATTGGGGCATGGAGGTTGGCAAAGGTTCAAGGAGTTCCAAACTGAAGTAGAAGCAATTGGAAAGATTAGGCATCCAAATATTGTCAGTCTCCGCGCTTATTTCTGGTCTTTTGAGGAGAAGCTTCTCATCTACGATTACATACCCAATGGTGATCTTGCCACCACACTTCATGGTAATTTTTTGCCTCTTTGAAGAAATAGCAAATTTTGATTCTTGTTCTTTGCCTTCCTAATGTTAATAAAGATCTTCTATGATAATCATTAATCATACATGTTTATTAGACTGACGGTTCTGATCCTTGATCAGGGAATGCTGGAATGTTACCTTACAGACCTCTCTCTTGGCCTGTTCGTCTGAGAATCATAAAAGGAATAGCAAGAGGCTTGGCTTTTCTACATGAATTCAGTCCCAGAAAGTATGTCCATGGAGATTTGAGGCCTAGCAATATTCTGCTAGGACAGAACATGGAGCCTCTTATCTCTGATTTTGGACTTTGCCGCCTAGCTAATATAGCTGAAGAATCACAAGCAGCCCAATGCGAACAAACGACCACTGGAACACCAAAAAGAAGTTCAACACCAGAACAGAGTTCTCCATTCGAGTTTACAGCAATAAACGCTACCTTAAGCAGGTCTTATTATCAAGCTCCGGAGGTCTCAAAAGTCAGAAAGCCAACACAGAAGTGGGATGTGTACTCATATGGAGTAATCCTACTAGAGATGATATCTGGGAAGCCGCCAATGATTCAGATAGGTTCCTTGGAAATGAATCTAGTTCAATGGATTCATCTCATGCTCGAGGATGGGAAGTTGATGATAGATATCTTGGACCCCCTCTTAGCTCGTGAACTCAACAAGGAAGATGAGATAGCTGCTGTGCTGAAAATCGCTCTTGCCTGTGTCTGTAAGAGCCCTGATAAGAGACCTTCAATGAGGCATGTCTTCGATAGTTTGGACAGACTGACGTCATGCATTAATCAACAGGACATGCTTGATGAAGTAGCAAAATTCACTCAATAAAAGAAATGCAAGATGAATGCCATAATCAATAAAGGGGAGTAAAGATTTTCGAGTTAGTATCACTGTACATAGTTGTAGAAGTTCCTAAGATGTTCCTTCCCTATATTTTATTGGATTCTTCTTTCCAATTTCTCTTAAATTAGATGTTTTCTAGGAACATTAGCTTTCACTTCTGATTCTAATGATTGGCTATTTAATGGCCACCAATAAATGCATACAAGACAGTAATAAGTAATCAAAAGAATTCTGTACTTTTCTCGGTCTGAAGGCAAAATTTAGTTGAATTAGAATTCAACAAAATTTAAACCTGCCTACAAGTTAATACATAAATATGCTGTCTGCCAACATGCCCTATGACCATAAAGATGTTACTTTGAAAGACATTATAGGAGCCTTGCAGAAGAAAGTTGTGCAACGGCTTCATGACTGACATATAGATTTGCACAAAACTGAAAGCTTCCATGGCCTTGAAATCTTGTGAACTAAATCAAGCACTTAAAGATGGATAATTCAAATTTATCAACTTGTTACTAACTGGTTGCAAAAAATTTAACATAAAATCTTGTAAAGGATAATGACCAGAGGAAAAAACTTCATGACAAAATGATGTTAAGAAGTGTCTCTTCAGAGGTAACAAATTTTCATAAAAACTAAAGTGTGAAGAATAAGTTCAGTAACAGGATGTAGGCAATACTTTCCAATAGAAAATTAGTTTCGACCATCTCAAAAAGTGGAAATTTTTGGTGATCAAGAACTCACAAAAAAAAAGGAACAAAAAGACTTTATGATAAAGCAAAATAGAATGCATCGAGGACAGTTGGAGTGGATAAACTCTTCTAGTTCACAACTTTACAGCAGATTCACAATTTATGTTCAANGTTTATTAGACTGACGGTTCTGATCCTTGATCAGGGAATGCTGGAATGTTACCTTACAGACCTCTCTCTTGGCCTGTTCGTCTGAGAATCATAAAAGGAATAGCAAGAGGCTTGGCTTTTCTACATGAATTCAGTCCCAGAAAGTATGTCCATGGAGATTTGAGGCCTAGCAATATTCTGCTAGGACAGAACATGGAGCCTCTTATCTCTGATTTTGGACTTTGCCGCCTAGCTAATATAGCTGAAGAATCACAAGCAGCCCAATGCGAACAAACGACCACTGGAACACCAAAAAGAAGTTCAACACCAGAACAGAGTTCTCCATTCGAGTTTACAGCAATAAACGCTACCTTAAGCAGGTCTTATTATCAAGCTCCGGAGGTCTCAAAAGTCAGAAAGCCAACACAGAAGTGGGATGTGTACTCATATGGAGTAATCCTACTAGAGATGATATCTGGGAAGCCGCCAATGATTCAGATAGGTTCCTTGGAAATGAATCTAGTTCAATGGATTCATCTCATGCTCGAGGATGGGAAGTTGATGATAGATATCTTGGACCCCCTCTTAGCTCGTGAACTCAACAAGGAAGATGAGATAGCTGCTGTGCTGAAAATCGCTCTTGCCTGTGTCTGTAAGAGCCCTGATAAGAGACCTTCAATGAGGCATGTCTTCGATAGTTTGGACAGACTGACGTCATGCATTAATCAACAGGACATGCTTGATGAAGTAGCAAAATTCACTCAATAAAAGAAATGCAAGATGAATGCCATAATCAATAAAGGGGAGTAAAGATTTTCGAGTTAGTATCACTGTACATAGTTGTAGAAGTTCCTAAGATGTTCCTTCCCTATATTTTATTGGATTCTTCTTTCCAATTTCTCTTAAATTAGATGTTTTCTAGGAACATTAGCTTTCACTTCTGATTCTAATGATTGGCTATTTAATGGCCACCAATAAATGCATACAAGACAGTAATAAGTAATCAAAAGAATTCTGTACTTTTCTCGGTCTGAAGGCAAAATTTAGTTGAATTAGAATTCAACAAAATTTAAACCTGCCTACAAGTTAATACATAAATATGCTGTCTGCCAACATGCCCTATGACCATAAAGATGTTACTTTGAAAGACATTATAGGAGCCTTGCAGAAGAAAGTTGTGCAACGGCTTCATGACTGACATATAGATTTGCACAAAACTGAAAGCTTCCATGGCCTTGAAATCTTGTGAACTAAATCAAGCACTTAAAGATGGATAATTCAAATTTATCAACTTGTTACTAACTGGTTGCAAAAAATTTAACATAAAATCTTGTAAAGGATAATGACCAGAGGAAAAAACTTCATGACAAAATGATGTTAAGAAGTGTCTCTTCAGAGGTAACAAATTTTCATAAAAACTAAAGTGTGAAGAATAAGTTCAGTAACAGGATGTAGGCAATACTTTCCAATAGAAAATTAGTTTCGACCATCTCAAAAAGTTGAAATTTTTGGTGATCAAGAACTCACAAAAAAAAAGGAACAAAAAGACTTTACGATAAAGCAAAATAGAATGCATCGAGGACAGTTGGAGTGGATAAACTCTTCTAGTTCACAACTTTACAGCAGATTCACAATTTATGTTCAACAATGCTTGTCAGCTATCATGTCCTAGACCACATTAATATGCATAGTCATGTTCCAAATCAAGCATTGTAATCACTACGGAAAATAAATTATAATTGACAAAACCCCATAAGAAGTGCAGTCCCAGGCAACAGACAGAATTGATTTTGTTCAGCACCCAAAACTTAACTGTCATCAAACATGCATATCCTGATCAGAGAAGCAGCATATATATATCAGATTAAAACTATACACTAACTCTTGAAGCACTCATTTTTATTGAACTTTCACTATATAATCTCAAACACTTTAATCAAATAACATATGGAAAAGAAAGATAAAGAAAGGGGCGACCATATTCTCTATTCTTATCTCACACGGACGACAAATACCAAAGAAATGAGAAAACAAGCAAGAGCATATAAAGTTACCCTAACTCCACTACCAAAATTGTTTCTTCTCTTTCAGATAACCAACTCATTGTGGCTGTGAGGTTCTAGCCTATTGGTTTACATTGTCCAAATGCAACTGTGACAAAGCCTCCGACAATAGTAATGCTGAGGCCTTCATGGTTTGATACTGAGGAGGCAATGAGGGTGGCAGTGGCTGAGTTTTATATATTTGGGACCGTGCAGGGTCATCATCATATTCGTCGCAGTAATTAGCAGTTTCTCCGGAAGCAAGATCAATTAGCTGAGGCTGATTATGTGTTTGGGAAACAACCACATTTTGTTGCTTATTTTCATTACAATTGGCATGGATAGGTGCATTTCCAACCTGGGTTGTTCTATAAACTGGTGAGACAAACTCAGGTACAGGTGGAGTTGCCGTGACATCCTTGTAGGCTACTTGGGGAGAAATTAACGTAGAATTTGGATGCAATGGAGGCCGACCAGAAACAACCGACAAAGTTTCTTTGGAACCATATTGCACAGATGACTCATATTTTGGGGTCTCACCAGCCAGCACAACATATACTGGGTACGATTGATTAGGCAGATACTGTAGCTGCTGCTGCTGATGCGACAGCGTGTTATGCACAGGATAGTAAGAGGCAACCGGCACTACTGTGGTAGGGTTCTGAGATACATAATGACTACCCATCTGTACAAATTGCATTTGTTGTCCCTGCAGTTGATCCAATTGTGAAGATAATGGATACGCATAAGCCTGAACTGTTTTATGTGATGGCATCTCTGAGACAGGTTCACGAATCTTGGTATCCCATGATTCAAAAGCGTTGAAAGAAACCTTATTCTCCATAGAAGCAATAGGAACAATGTGGTCTTGGTAAGTTCCAGTCTGCGCGTAAGAAATAGCACTTCCCGGGCTATTTATATCACTGCAAAAAAATTAATCACACAATCACAGCTATGCCTCAAAACAGTTTCATTTCTATTTAGTGGGAAAATCTATGAAAACATATTTAGAGTAGTCCAATAGCAACAAAGTGAAGTATTTATGGACTTAATTCAATTTGCACCTTGACAAAATAACATAAATAAATAAACTACATCGTTCTTTCTTTATCAGCTTAGCTTCTAAAATAACTAGTTCCGATTTCACCGGCTGCTATAATTTCTCACTAATATTTTAACAGCTTTCACATCAACCAAATAAAGGAAATAAACAAGATAAAACAAAACTAATATCAATCAGTACCTTGCAGTAGACTCAGCTGAGGGCAATTTGGCCCGATTGTCTTGAAAAAAAGTCAAACTTTCATCACCACAAGCCTTAATGGGCGGCAAATTGGACAAAGAAACTGAAGACGACGTAGAACCATAAGAGGATGTTGTTTCCAACACCATAGACTCTTGCCCACAAAGCCCACCACTGCTGCCATTACCATTACTACCTTCACTTTGAATTTGGCCTTCCCCTCCAAACCCGATCTCTCCCTTCTGCATCATCTTTGCACCCTTCAACGCGTCCACGAACCAACTCTCCGTCTTAGGGTGAGTCAACCCGCACTGAGTAGTCTTCAACTCGGACTGTTTCAACCCAAACAGAAACAATCTGATGCGTGTGGGCTCAGGAAAATCCGAAAGTCGTTGAAACTCTTCCAGAAAAATCTGAAGGTCGTCGTCAGTGGAAAGAGAGATAAGCGAGTCGAGGTCATGGAGTGGCAGCTGGTACTTGAGAGTGAACGGGTAACTGACACGTAACGTGGCGGCGATGTGGGCTAAAAAGGCGGAGACTGTGGCGGTGCTGGAGGTCGGAACGCTGATGATACGCGTGTCGCCTCCAGAGTAATACAGAGACTTCTTGAAGGGCATGGGGACGATGTGGCCGCCGTAGCTACACATCAGCCGGAGCTTGCCGGACGTCTGCGGTGGTGGCGGGTCCATAAAAAGGGCGGCGGCGGCGAGATCTGAGTGGCTTAAAGACTTGATTGCGGAAAGTGTTGTAGTTAAAAGTGAGAGCTTGGTTGCTTTCATGGTGAGTCACACGTGGCGAGAACGTGCGTGGAAAATCGCACGTCAGCGGAGGTGGATTTGGGAGAAAGTGATGGACTGATGGGTCCTACAATGTAATAAAAAAATAAAAAATAGAAGGGTGGGACCGATCCTTTCTGGTTTTAAGATCTAGACAAAGGGAGAATAACATATTCCCACCGAAGGTTTGGAAAAATAACATTTTCCCACCCGCCAAGTTTCAAAACGACACTTTCCCACCTATCGTCCATTAACTTTAACTAAAGAAGGATATTATAGTAAATTCAAAATACAATTAAAGGGTAATTACGTTATTTTATCTTCTGTATATAAACTAATTGCCTTCTCATTGCAGTCACCGAGTGAGATTGTTTGCACCACCTCCTGGATTTGTTGAAATTGCTGTTTTGCTTCCCTTGCCACCCTGGATTCTTCGCAAACCTGTCCGATGACATTTCTTCAAAAACCATCACCCATAATAAAGAATTCTAATCTCAAAACGGAGTAGTAGCTAGAAGATTCGGTAGTGGAACCTCCTTCTCCATCCATTATTTTTTTTATTTTGTGTGATTACTTTCCACAAAAGATCAAATCATAAAGAAACGAAATGAAAGAGAGACACTGAGCATTCTGCTTTAATGTACAGAAAGCCCCATTAAAGAATAATCAAAATCAACCTTCTATGAAGAGCCGAAGTTTATGACAAAATATTAATGAAAAAAGACTCACAAAAACAAAAATGTTTTATTTATTTATTTTCTATTTTTGAAATTGTTTAATGTTTGTGGATGACAGTGGACCAATCTTAAGCAATGTCAAGAAATGAAAACAATGGGTGAAAAGACAAAGAAACAAGAGAAACAATAAGAAGAAGAATCACATTGATGTTTGTCCATCGAAAAACACCAATGAATCTGCACCATTATTATTCGAAGACGACTTACCTAAGCTGAAAGCAGCAAGCTCTATTTCTTTTTTAATTTATTTATGGGGACTGCATCTTGGAAGGTCACTCTAATCAGTTGATGAACAAAATTTGCAAGGGTGAAGTGAAGGAAACTAAAGGGGTAGAGCTCAACCACTCTATGTCCTTCTGTTGATTTCTTGAGCTTCTGCTACACTTGCCGCAAAGAATTGGAGGGTAAAGATATTTACATATATAAGTATGCTCCAATCACAATAGTAATAACCTATTTATTTAGTGTGAATATGCGTTTGCTGGAAGATTTTATGACAATGACTCTGGTTTGATTGGTTTATTGGAAAGGCGAGAAAGCATTTTGCAGTTTTGATTGTCGTTCACAAGAGATTTCGATTGATGAGGAAATAGAGAAAATCAGCACGTCTTTTGAAAACTCTCGACAAGTGAAGAAGAAGAAAAGGGAAGAAAAAAGAAGAAAATGAATGAAGGGTTTTTTCATCTTAACACTATTTATATCATGTTAGTTATAAGATTTTATTAACAGATCCTAACGATAGGTGGGAAAGTGTTATTTTGAAAATTAGCAGGTGGGAAAGTGTCGTATCATGAAACCTTGGGTGGGAACATGTCGTTCTCCCTTAGACAAATTACGAGATATGTTATGTGACAGTGATATCATCCTATCCTATCCTTAAGTAGAAATTAATTAAGACTTTAACTATGTTTAAGGAGAAGTATGGATATCACTTTCGCCACTTGTTATTTATAAATATTAAATAGAATCATAACAGAAGCCGTGATTATTATTATTATTAATTGAATTAGAAATTGTTTATACATTAGATTAGATCCTATAAATGACATTTTGTTTCTATTCTATAGCTTTAAATTCCAAATTTATTATTGTTGTTGTTATTGAGAAATGTTGAGCATATTCTCACGTGGAAAATGTTTCAACGAGAGCATCTGCAGAATGGATTTTGTCTTCACATAATAAGGCCAACATTATAATTTTTCTTGTCAGTGGAGATCCTGATCTTGATCTTGATCTGCCAAATCAAATTTTGTTTTGTCTAATCTAATGGTTCAGCTCTCACATGTCAATTCACATTTATTTCATATTGTGATATTAATAATATATAAAAAATGTTTTTGTGAATTATGGCCAACAACAGTATATAAGCAGTGATTTCAAAACTCCATTAAACCTTTCCATTCCCGCACCCGCTTGCCTCTAACCAATTTACCACCAGGAGCGCAACCCCCTTACTCCACCCCGTCGTGCGCCACAAATACCCCACCGTGGCGTCCTGTGACCAACCGAATCGTCCCATCACAGCCTCATGTCAGCCATTTTCGTTTCCTTTCTGTTATTGTTTCTTTTTCTTTTTTATTTTTGGGGATATTGAGGGGAGTGAAAGGGGAGAAAAACCATAAAAGAAAGATGGAACTTGGAAGGGAGGAAAAAAATAAAATTAAAGAAAACATGAATGACTATTTTACCCTTCATAACCTAAAGTTGAATTGACTTTGTCACACTTTTGGGGTAACTTGATTGATTTATGAAACTATTAGGGGAGACTTGATTAAAATCGTTATAATTGCCAGCAAATTTGAAGTTCCAAAAATTTTGGGGGTAAATAAATTTTACTTTTTTGAGATAAATTAGAATTTTAAAATCATATTAGAGTGATAATCAAATCAAAGTTAAGAAAGGGTGATAGATCATTTTTGGATAATAATAAAATTCAAAAGTGGATGTGATAGACGGTATTATACAATTTGTATAATGTTTTCGTTTTGTGAAACCAAAACCCATTTATATAGTTAATACCTATTCAAAGAAAAGGCAATATAATTGTCGAATTAATAAGTTAAAATAACAAATATAATCTAATAGTAAGTATGCTTGGCTCAATTGTTTCAATTATAGTTAAGTGTGAAGTATGATATGTCCTCTCTATTATATAATATTAAGTTTAATAACCCAACGAGAGAATAAATAACACGGGAAAGAAATAAATGGGATTAAAGTGAAAGATTAGAGGAATATGAGACTGATTTGGTATTATACAACGTTAACTCATCTTGGAATCTTATAGATATATGCAAAACAATTCAAAGATACAATTAAGAAGTAGAAAGCCATGTATTCTTACATTTTCTAACTTGTTTTGTACTTTTTCCCACTCAAGGTTTACCTTAATGACACTTTCCCATAAAAAAAGTTTTAAAATACAACTTTTCCACTAAAGTTAGCCGATCTTAGAGACAAATTTTTTTTTTTTTTTATCATTACCATTTGAACCTCCAGTCTCTTCTCTATAAAATCTCTCTCACTTCGACGCCTAATTTCTCACCGATTGTCGGCTACCACAAAGTTAGGGTTTCCTATTCTTAATTAATTTTCAATTGATTCTAGTGACGAATATTCAATCGGTCACATTATTCAATCTACCAACCTCCATTTTATAAAGCCTCTCTTACTCTAGCTCTTGGTAACTCGCCAAATACTGGCTAAGAAAGTGAAGTGTATTTTGGGTGTTAATAGAAGATAAACTTTGTGTGAGAAAGTGATATTTTAAAACTTTTTGGGTGGACAAGTAATTGAGGCAAACCTTGGGTGGGAAAACAATATTTACTCTTGTTTTGTCTAAAAAATCACATGAGGATTAATGATTCATATGTCATTTAACCACAGTGCGGTTTCACTTTGACTGCCAGCGCCGTTCTCGGCTTTCAAAACGAAGCGGCTCACTCTCTCTCACCTTATAAACAACCATCCCATGGGTCCCATGATGACTCCTTTGTCTCTCAACTATCTCTTCCGATTTCCCAAGAATTTCTGGTAAAATTTTCCTTTCTTTAAACAACTAAAAACTTTTCACCTTTCTGTATGCTTCATGTCAATTATCCTTTTTGTCGTCTTCTCTATAATTGTATGTAAATATTGGGTGAACGTAACTGACAGGAAGGTTCCTATCACCATTCAACAACTTTCTGAGATTTTTGTTGTTGATACTCATAAACTCAGCTACCGCTTGTGTTATTGTTTGTGTTTGTTTGGTTGATTGATTGGTTCATACAATACAATGACTTGGTGGGATTTATCTTCGCTTTCTTGGGTTGGAAATTTGAGAGGCATGTTTCAGGTTAGTGGGTTTTTGTTTTCAGAGTTGTAGACGTTCAATTAGCATTATAATTCGTATAATGTAGGCGTTATATTAGGCATGCGTGTGATCATTTTGTTTAGAACTCAGGACACAAGGGAAAAAAGAGAGATGGGGTTTAGTTTTAGACTAATAAATGAGTTGTGTTATGTATTTTAAGGCTTTTAGGTCCAAGCACTTTGATTTGCAGCTCATAATTTTGTGAAGGAATTATGTATGCTAATGTAGAAAAACATTTTTTTTTTTTTTTTTTTATTGAACTTCATATTACCGTTTAGAGACACTGTGAGTTATACAAAATTTACAATCGTATTTATTATCATAAGGTACATGTACAGTTGAGATGTTCATGTCACTGAGGGGTGCATACTTTACAGACCAAAATTTGATGATTGAAATTCTTAGTTTGTGAAATTTGATGATTGAAATTCTTAGTTTGTGTAATAATTCTTGATATCTGATTGATATGTTTGGGTAATATAGGATTGCTGTTTGAGGGTTTTATGTAATTAGAATAGATGTGCAAAGTTATGCTTAGTTCTTTAAATTTTTTCCAGCTTAAAATGTCCCAGATATACATCTGCGATCGTCAACTGTGGTGTTCTAAGGATTATTTAGGATAGATTAACTTTATTGTTTTGCTGTGACCTTAAGATTCATTTTTTCTGGCATTTTTTAAGGATAAATCAAGTCGGAGGCTGCATATATCTGCAAATAGTAATCATTCGTTTACAAACATTGGTTGTCCTCTAATAGATCATCAGAACGAGGAGGTATTCTTTTTCTTTCATGAATTTTGTTTGAAACAGTTTAAGTGTACTTGCATTGAAGTGGTTTTGTTGTGTGTTATTTGAACACATAAATGAAGATCTGA